CCGGGGCGGGGAGCAAGCCCCAAGAGTGGCTGGTGTGAGGGGTGTTCTGACCACCTGCCAAGAGCCCTGTGGACAGAGAAAGTGGGCAGTGGCTTGTGTTTCTGCCCGTGCTGGCCCCCCCCATCTGGACACCCCCCTTCCCTCCCCCAGCCAGGGAGCCTGCTGTGCCCCTGCGCTGGGCTCTTGCTGCTTTTCGCTTCTCACCTGTGTGACTGTATCACCTATCAGAAACAAACACAACCTTTAAAATTGTCCTAAGTAAGGCAGCGTGCTGGGGCTCGCACACATTGCCCCCCTTCACCCCAGCCTTGCACCCGGCTTCTCCCCACAGACCCCCACCGTGCTGGCTCCGCACCCTCGGCCGCGCTCCAGGACTGCGCGCCTGCCTGCCGGCGAGCGGGCTTCCGTCTCATCGGGGCTGCTGCGGGCAGCATGCGGGGCCTCGGGGCCTGTGAGGGTGTCTGAGGCAGGTGTCCTGGGGTTCGGGAAGGCCTCACTCAGCCAGGAAGCGTCCGGCTGCGACTTGAGTGTGCGTCCGGCTTTGAGCTTGGTGCTCGGCAGCCACCTCACAGCTCTGACACTGGCACGTGTGTTCCAGGCAACACTGTTTCCTTTCTATTAGGGAAAGGAGGAACCTTGTTTGGGGCCTTGGAGGAAAGGAAGAGCCTGTCACAGCGACCTGGCTGCCCCAGCCCCGCTGCCCCCCACCCCTCCCCCAAGCCCCTGCCAGGCTGCAGCTCCACCAGGACGCAGGCGGATGCAGGTCTGCCGTGGGTCCCGCCTCTGGGGCGGGCGCTGTGCCAGCGGGCAGAGCGCGTTCCTGGCCTTTTTAAGAAGCACTGAGGTACCCGAGTGCACTCCTTAAAGGCCAGGGCGCCGTGCATTAGATCAGCCGTGGAGTTGAACTGGTCTGGCTTTTGTGTTTTTTTTAAGGGTTCATCTCAAGTTTCTTTTTCTGGTTGAACAATTTTTTTCAACATTAATAACTAATGGAGAAGGGAAAGAGGCAAAGTGGAACCATATGGCGGCCCCAGCACAAGCCTCACTTGTGGCCGGAAACTTCTGATTTGTATCTTTTCCTGCGATCAGTTGTTGGGTTAGATACCGAGCATTCTGGGTTTGGGGCAGAGGCCGGCGTGGCGGAGAGCGTTTAACCCGGCTCCACGCGTCCCGTGCTGTCGGTGGCCTAGACTGTGACTGCTGGCCGTGTCACCGTTGGGGTGGCCACTGCGTCCCACCGGGGCATGGAGGCCACTCGGGCGGCGTTTGGAGTTGGCCGCGCCGCAGGTGCTGACGGTTCCGTCCTCTCCTCGCTGAGCGAGGGCTTCACCTGACGGCCTCTTGCCTGTGCTTTCAGCCCTGTTGTCCCCTCCCTGTTCATTGTGATCCCCTCTGCTGTCTGTCCGGTGGCTCCCGGTGGGCCAGGTGAGGGTCGTTGGAGGGCCTGGTGGTTCCTGTTTTTGGGGACACGTCCACAAAGCAGTTGGGGGCCGTGGCACAATGGATGGAGCCCGAGCCTCCAACCCGAGCAGCGGCAGGCGGGCGTCCTGGCCAGGGCAGCAGCATCTGCTGTTCTGAACACTTGGGGCTGGCCTTAAAGCCCTTAGCGGCCCGGGTTGGTCTGACACCCTCATTGTTTTACGCACATTCCTTACAAAGACTTATGCGGTTCATATGGGTGGTTTGGAGAGAAGCCGTCAACCCCTGGGGGTCGGCACACCCACGTGCCCCTCCCAGGGAGCAGAGCTGATGACACACACCTCTGTGAACCCTCGCTTTTATCTCAGCCTGTCCTTTTGTTTAAGTCACGGTGCAGACTCAGGATCCTGGAGACTTAGTGTGATTTCTTCCTCTGCTGTAAGCATCAGGCATGAGTGCAAGGGCTTGGGAGTAGGGTGGGGTAGCCTAGGGAGAGCGTTACTAGTGGGCTAGATTTGCAGGGCCACACTACTTCTACCTTGGGTCTAATATATGACCTCAGCTCACAAGGCTTATTAACACCCACTTCCGCAGAGGCCCACAAACATACATGAGCACCCAAAACGGTGTTTGGCACTGGGCTAGGTCTGGAGTCCCCTGTATGCTTCAGAGGTACAGAGTGTGAGTGGTAAAGGAGCAAAATTGAGTGGTGACAGTATTGGAACTACCGTCCCCACGGTGTTGGGGGTTCAGTTGACGTCATTGCTTCTGCAGGTGTCCAGAGACTTTGGCTCTTGATGAAGAAGCTGGAATCTGGGCTGGGCCCTGCAGGGTGATGGGGTTTACGAGAGCAGTAGGGATTTGCCAGGTTGAGTGAAGAGATGTGTGCCTCATGTGACCTTGAGGCACTTGTGCCAAAATAGTCATCACAGTTAAAATTTCACTGGCCAGTCCTGTATTTTCCAACAGTCCTCCATAGAGGGTTTTTTTTTTTTTTTTAAGTGTAAGTGCATGTGTGAATATGCACACTCAGGGACAGTGAGCAGGACAAGTGGGGTGGCTGAGAGGGCTCAGGCAGGAGTGGGAGGGTGGGCTGGGCAGGTGGGGCCAGGCCATGGCCAGCACAGCTGCCCCCCTCATTCTCAACAAAAGCCAGGTTGTTCTTCCAGAGCATTTTGCCTTGGAGCAAGAAAACTAGAGAACTGTGAAATACAATAATAGGGCCCAACGTGAGAGTTTATCCAGTAGGCAAAAGTTACACTTGCTAGGCTGAAGAGCCAGTCAGTCTCCTCACACCCTGGCGCTTCCCAGTGGGGCAGATCACATGCCATTCATGAATGCTGCTCGCTTCTCTGGGCTGGCCATGGTTTCTTGAGTAGGACACCAGTCAGTGCCTACATGGACTTTGAAAAGTTCAGGCACAGATCTGCAAGGACCCCCGCTGATGCCCGAGGGCTGCATGCTGCCCAGAGGCTGTTTGCACACACCCCCACCCCCCACACAAATGCCTGTGCAGTCCAGCACTCGGCTCCCAAAGGGGACAGTTCCCTCTGTTGCATGGCTGGGTGGGGTGGAGATCTGCGTCATTCAGAGGACTGGCTTCTCCGAGTCACACTGCAGTGAGATGAAGTCAGGGATGTTGCACCTGAGCCCGCCAGACAGCAGGTGGCACTGATACCCAGGAGGAGAGAGGTGTGGCAGTGTGGCGTGGCTAGCAGGCTGACATCCCCTCTGCTGGGCGCTGGGCTGAACACTGAGTGCATTGCCTCATGCGAACCCCAAGTCCCAGCGGGTTGGTCTGAATTATCTACCAAATCTGAGTGAAGTAAAATAACTGACTCGAGACCATCAGGCCATTTAGTAGTTGAGTCAGGAAGCCTCACTCCTCAAAGCCAATGCCTCGCTCTCTGAAAGATTCTCAAAGAGAACCCGCTGATCTTAACCTGCTAATCCAGGATAAATTGGACTGATAGTGCCAGGGCCTCCAGTTCATTAGAATGGGGTTCTTGGCAAAGGCCTGCAGACCAGGGCAGCCGCCAAGCAGCATAAACAGTGACCCTTGGGGGAGACGTGCTGGGTGCACACAGAGACGTTGGCATGTCACTGGTGGAATGGTCAGAATCTTCCCTGCCTCGGCCAGGGTTGTCATTCTGAGCGGGGTTGAAGCCGGGAAGGGGTTATTTGCCGCCAGAATGTGCCTTTCCCCCGCCAGCGGGGTCCTTCCTGCGGCTGGCTGTCAAACCAGAGTTGGCATGAAGAGGGGAGGTTTCTGCCTCTCCTGCTTCTGTGGGCTGTGGGCAACTTACTGACGCTGGACCATGGTTCTCTGATTTGTACAATAGGAGACTACCTGACCGCACCTGAGGATGCTGTGAGCGCCACGCCGCCAGTGCGCTGTGGGCCCAGGGCCCAGGGCAGACCTGGGAGCGGTGGGGGCGGGGTTACCACCTGGTGTGTCTGGGGGAGAAAGCCCACCGTGTGGCAGAAGCCAGAGCCGCTGCGAGCTGCAGGGCGGGTAGCGGCCCCACGTGAGCACAGCACCTTGCCGCCGAGTCCCGGGCCCCCAGGGGTCAGCGGCGGTGGAGGCCCACCAAGGCCACGGCCCCTGCTGTTGTGGCGAGGGCTTCCGGAGGGACCCAGCCCTGCTGTCACGCCAGCCCTGTGCTGAGCCGCTGCTCTGGGTGTCTCTGCCAGTGGCGCGGCTTTCCCATTTGGAAGCCTGTCTGGGGCCCTGGCAGCTGCTTGCCTGGGAACAAGATGGGCGAGAACCCCTTAACCCAGGCCAGCGAAATGAGGAAGTGAGCACACCAGACACAAGTGTGGCCGTGACTCACTACGGAGGAATTCACTTCAGAATCTAACGCCGTCCCTTCCTGGAATATCGCGGTGGATATTGAAGTTTGCGTTGGGAGGTGGCGTGGTGACTGGCAGGTCGGTGTCAGGTTCCACGTCATCTGCCCTGATCAGCCCTCCACCTCAGACTGCCGGGCTCTCCTTCCCGCAAGGCAGCTCCAGGTGTGCCCGCAGGGCCAGCCCACAGGAGGATGCTCTGCGGGGTGCCGGGGTGGAGTGGCCTTCGCCGCAGGTGAAGCTGACTGTGAGAGCGGCTGGTCCTGCTTGGCCAGGGGCCTGCAGAGTAGTGGAAACTCCACCCAGCGTGCGTGCTGGTGGGAGTTCTCGGCACAGATGGCTTCCTCCTTTCAGAATTCTCTGGGCTCCTGTGTGTTTAAAATGTTCACCTTCCTCTCAGGACCTAGCTTGTGCTTGGCGCACCAGAGACCTGTCCTGAGCGTGGGCACACTTAAATGCTCTAGACCACCCTGGTGACCAGGTCTTGAAGCCGCCCAGTTTTGGAGGCCAGGCTGCAGGGGGGCCACACTCCAGGGTAACTCGAGAGAGGTTTCTTTGTGGAGGGACACAGTCGCTGTTAGATGTACGAGGGCAGAGCACAGGCCCGCGGCTCTGGCAGGCACCGAGGCCAGGCGGATGTGCCAGCGTGGCGGGTGGCGGTTGTGGGGAGCCGGCCTGCATTGCATGTGCTGTTTTAACTCTGTGCTTGCCTTTTCCGTTTTTCCTGCCAGGTGCCCAGTCTGTGCGAAGATCTCCTGTCTTCTGTTGACCAGCCCCTGAAAATCGCCAGGGACAAGGTGGTGGGAAAGGATTACCTTTTGTGTGACTACAACAGAGATGGGGACTCCTATAGGTGAGCTCTGCCTCCAGGACACGGCGGGCATGCCGGGAGCACTGGGCCAGGCACCACCCTTACCTCCGGCCTTGGTGGCACGAGGATCTGACCGGGGGACAGACTGACACCCCACCAGCCGTCTGCTGGCCCACCTGCCCCTCCCTTCCTGTCAACCAGTGGCTGCTTGTGGAATGCCTCAAAAACCCTGAGCTGTTTCACTACAAGTTGTACTAAGTCCTGCAGGGGTGTGGTGAGATGTGCACATAATGGGATCTGGAAGGCAGGGAGGGCCTTGAGGACACGCGAGCGCAGCGCTGTCTAAAACCCCGCTCTTCTCGCTCGTCCCATCACCAGGCTGAGGGCCGTGAGCAGCTGGGTTGACATCGTCCCTGCCCTGGGTGAGCAGGAGACGCACCCAGCGACCCATTTCTGGTTGCTGTGATTCACACAGCCAGGGCCAGGCCTTGAAGCTTGGGGCTTGACGGCAGCATGGAAGAGACTGAGGTTGGTCGAGGAGGACTTCCAGAGGGAGGCTGCAGCTGGGTTCGGTTTTTAAGTCTTCAGCCGGCTTTCCTACTTAAAAATAGGGGTGCGCCTACACCAGTCTAGTCTGTCTGTGATGGATTGCCATTGTCAGTGCCCAGAGAATGGCAGTCTGCTGTCGGGTTATTCAGAGGCTAAACCTACACGGAACCAGGGCTAAGGCTTGAGTTTTCAACCCAGGGCTCTCTTCTGGAACGTGCTGTGAGCCTGAGTGGCAAAGTAGGAAAAATTACCTGGGACCAGCTAACATGGACTCCAAACCAGAACCGCCCACTGCAGTGCTGGGGCTTTTAGTTCACTGGTTTTCAGTTCTTGTGTAAAATGGGAATTTCAACGCTAAATAACACTATCGGTGCTGAGTGCCTCATTCTCTTAAGTATGCGCCATGTGCGCCAGGCTGTTCTTGCCGTGAGCCAGAGGGGCAGGGAGTCGGCACACGCGTGAACTGTGTAGTTTGTGGGTAAAGTGGGCATGCACACACCAGGCACAGGGGACTCAGCAGGTGGCAGGCAGGGCCCTTCCGTGGCAGCTTGTGAAATGAGACTTAGAGATGAGAAGGGAAGCACGGGGTGTGGAGGCCCTGGGTGGCCAGGCTGGAGCTCGGCAGGAAGCCAGGTGGGAGGAGGCCGTGAGGTCAGGGCGAGCTGGGAGATGAGGTCACAGGTGTGGCAGGGCGCGGGGACCAGGACTTAGCAGGGGCTGTTGGTGTGGGATGCGAGTTACTGAGCAGCTCAGAACTTGGTGTATATGGAGAGATATGCTCAGTACTCATCTTTTAAGACTGCTGTTTGTGTTTCACTTCACATGGAAGTGGATAGAGGCCGAATTTTGACCTGACTCAGAGGAGAAGTGAGACTCGGTGGGAGGTAGGTGGAGGCCGCAGGTGGTCAGGGTGTGGATGAAGCAGCAGGTGGGGCTGGCACTGCTGGTGTGAGCGTGTTTATCCCACAGAGAAGCTGCTGGGGGTTGCAGCTTTGGAATCAGCCTAAGCTGAGACACCCATTCAGCGGGCTGAAAGTTTTTTGAGATTCTCATTGGCTTGAGGGAGAGAGGGCACTCGTATGTGGGTATTGGAGTTCCAGGAGGTGGTCTGGGCGTCCACATGAGAGCCCCCGCTGGGCAGCCCCCAGGGCAGGCGGAAGGGCTCGGCGTGAGCCGGGCCCAGGCCAGGTGTAGGTCCAGGTCCAGGCTCTGTGAGAGTGGTGCTAGGTGGTCTGGCAAATGGGGGACCCATCTCCGAAGCACAACCTTCTCTAGGCTTGGGGTTTTATCTGAAGCGGCTTCTGGAAGAGGTTTCCTTGAGCTGAGCGTTGCTTAATTAACATACTCGTGATGGGTCTTTTTCCACCTGGAAACCCCGGCTTGTTGTGGAAGGCAGCTGTTCCCAGTAGTCTGTGGAAAGTTGGGAACATGGCCATATCCATGCCCAGGACTTGGTACTGACAGGCTCTCGGGGTCCCCCACCGGTCCTGCCAGAGCTCCCAAGGGGTCATCTCAGCCAAAGCGGAGCCCGGGGTGTCATGCCAAAGGGCATTCCTTTCCTTTTTTCCTTTCTCGATATAAAACTTCAAGGCCTTTTGATTTTTTCCACACATTTCCATCCTAACTGTTTGATCGTTCACTTAAATAAGATCCTTATGGTGTGGCTGTTGCCAGCAGCACTGTTTGAAACCTGTTAGCTGAAACAAAAAGCGTTCTCCGAGGGAAATGAAAGGCCTGACTTTTGAAATCTAAGCGTTCCTGTCCATCTGTCTTTTTTCAAATGGCCTCCATTTAAGCTCTTAAATGTGTTCTGAGTGCCCCTTCCACTAAGGATATTCTGGGTAATGTTATGATTTTCCCCCCAGCTACAATTACCCCGGCTCCGGGACTAACTAACGGCTTGAATGCCGCCGTCTGTGAGCCAGGAGCAGTGCGAGGCGCAGGCTTCTTGGAAGTTCAGGCCCCCAGTCTGCCAAGAGATGGGCTCTAGAGTCTGATCAGTCCCCCTTAAATGAAAGCCAGTTGGGGTGGGTCCTCCGGGCCCCAGGAAGGCGGTGGCCGTTCACTGTGCTGGGCGTGCTGAGGCGGGCAGCCCGCGGGGGTCTGGGCCTGGCTTCTGTAAATGGCGGTGCCAGCCTGTCTGTGTCTCTGACCGGGCGGGAGCCCAGTGGGCCTTCTTTAACCCTGTGTCCCTGGGCGGAACACGCTGAGCATTGCCCTGTCTGTCGGTGCGGAGGACACCAGCAGCCATCCCAGGCCGCCTCCCGCACACAACAGCGGGTGGGTTCTGGGGCGTGGGGCAGGGGGCGCGGCGCCCTCCCCAGGGAGGCGGGGGAGGCTGCTGCTGCTTCGTGGGCTGTGGAAGACGAATCGGTCTAGTGACGTCTTCATGAGCGTGTGGTTGAGAGCCAGGCACCACGTTAGTGCTGAGCAGATAATGCAGAACTAGCCAGAAGGGCTTAGGTGCCACCGTTGACTATTTAAATTTTAAGTTGGTTTAGGCGAAGTGAAGTTAAAAGTGCAGCCTCTGTTGCCCCAGCGCTCTGCAGCCACAGTGCTGGGGCTGCCGTGGGCCAGTGCGGGCCGCGAGCTTCCATCTGTGAGGGGCCCCGCCAGCAGTGCTGCTTCAGGGGTGAGCAAGACCTGCTACAAGGACAGAGTGGATGGGCTGTCCCGTGGTCAGACGAGGGAGGCCTCTGGGAGCAGGTGCGAAGGAACCCAGGCCGGCGTGAGCCCCGGCACCAGGCAGAGGGGCGGGGCCCTGGCAGGGCATGGCCAGAGCGCTGCGGTCACAGGCAGAGGGTGTTTTACACCGTTGGAAGTCTGCCAGCTGTGTGCCCGGGGTGGCGGAGGGGCGGCTGGAAAGAAGCGTCTCCAGAGTCCCCTTGCTTTGAGGTCGTCCTGTCAGGCTTTCTGCTGCCTGGGGTCCTTTAGGGAAAGGTGGGGCCTCTGGCCAAGGGGTCTCGAGGTGAGGTCACCCAGCTCACTTGCCTTGGTTTGTTGACATCGGTGCCCTGAATCAGTTACCAGGAAGACAGATGCTTGAGCTCAGAATTAATAAAAACTGGGGGTGGGGAGCTGGAATTAGCCTTTTCCCTTAACGTCAGCCCCAAAACAAAGGTTCTCTGAGGCCTTGGGATGTGGGGGTTGTCAGTGGGGGCGTGGGTGTCTGCCAGGGCACAGGAGGTGTTTGTGCAGGGGTGTGAGTGACCGAGGGCTTCCTCCCTGCTCCGTATTTTCTGCTCCTTTTCAGTTCCTTTAACCTTTTAAATTCTTTTTCATCCCCTGAGCCTGCAGCTCTCTGAACTCCACCTGCGGAATTAATGAGTACTTATTGCCTCCATAACCCCTTTCTAGAGCTCCCCGTGGTTAAATGTTTTCCTGATGTGGCAAGACAGTTTAAGAAACCAGCAAGCCTTTGGGGAAAGCCAGGCTGGTCCTCGTGCCACGCCGCCACGGTGCGCGCCCCGGACCTGGGGGCCCCTGTGCCTGGACACTGCTGGCTCCATCGTCTCGCGTGCGGTCTCCGCGGCCGAGTCTCCTGCTGGCTTCCATGCAGGCGCCTCTCTTCGCAGTCCTTCGCAGTGAGGTCTTTAGGAGAAGTCTGCCCAGAGCCGCCTGCGGGCAAGGAGCAGCGTGTTTGGACACCGACGTGTGCCAGGCTGCGGCCTCACCCCTGTGCTTCTCCCTTTCCGCTGCTCACAGCAGCCTTGCGGTGGCACATGGCAGCCTCGTTTGACACGAGGGGAGGGGGGCTGGGGACAGCAGACCCTTGCCGGGGTGCGTGGCTGGCGGGGCGGCCGCCCGCTCCCGAGCCCTTGCTCTGCAGACCGCGGGGCTGTCTGCGGGACCTGGGAAGAGGGCTGCTGTGCGCGTGGGTTTCCTCTCAGGTCGCCACGAGCTGGACTGCGGCTCAGCCCACGGGCCCTGTCTCCCGGGATGGCTCATGTTCTCTCCTCCTGCCCCCAGATCACCGTGGAGTAACAAGTATGACCCTCCCTTGGAAGATGGGGCCATGCCGTCTGCTCGGCTGAGGAAGCTGGAGGTGGAAGCCAACAACGCCTTTGACCAGTACCGAGACCTGTGAGTGCCCCCCCCCCCGCCCTCTACGCCCCGGGGAGCCGCTCAGTAACCCTGAATGAGAGCAGACCAGCCTCGCTGTCTCCGGCTCTTCTGGACCCATGGCCTGGTGGGCCAGGGCGGGGTGGCTTGCCCGCCGCCCTGCCGGCCTGTCCTCTGGCCCTCCTGTATGATGGCTGTTTTAGTCCCCACTTTTCAGGTGGGAAAGTTCAAGCTCAGAAACTCTGTGTCTGTCCGAGGCAGGAGGCTGAACCAGGCCGCCTCCCTCCCCGCCTCCCTTGTGCTTGTGACTCGGTTCTCAGCTGACCTCAGGGTGCCGCCCCCCCATCAGCCTGGGTGGGTCGTGGGCGCCCCTGCTGGGGGTAGGGGGAGCCCCTCTTGGAGCTCACGTCCTGCTGACGTGGGGTCTGTGGGGATGGGGACCGCCTGGAGCTGGGCTCTGCGCTGCCCGCCGCGAGCCCCTCTCTCCTTCACGCTCCTTCCCACCCTGCCGCCCCCTCCCAGCCTGGCAGGAGAGGGCTCCGGGGCCGTCCGCTCAGGGTTTATTTTAATCAACAGAATCTCATCTTACATTAAAGTCTGGTTCCTGAAATACAGCAAAGCTATAAAATACGCAGTTCTCTCTAAGCACAAATGCAGTCACCTGGGAGGGGCGGCACGCTCTTCTGTAAGGGGCCAGCCGGTGAGCCTCTCTAGCCCTGTTGCTTTTTTCTTTTTCTTTTTTTTTATATTATCACTCTTTGAAGGTATCAAAAAAAAAAAAAGAAAGAAAAAACACCCTTTGAAAGCATTTGAGGTGGGTGGGGTTTAGCCTTCATCTGTAGTTTGCAAGAAACTGAAAGTAGAGAAAATCTTTGAACATCTGAAGCCGTTGTCCGAATCCCAGGCCTCCGCTCTGTGGGCAGTGGGGACACGTTAAATTAAGGGACTTCAGGGGGACATATTCTCTTGGAAGCCGTTTGGGGTGGGGGTGGGGAAGCGGCTCTTGTGGCTGTGAGACGTGACAGAAACCACACAGTACCTAAGTGGGGGGGGTGGCGCCTGTCCCCCCACGCCCTGCTTATCACCCTCCCAAGGGGCCTGTGGCCAGTGTGTCCTCACAGGTCAGCGCTTCACGTTCTCGTTCTCCCTTATGAGATGTCGGGGCCCGGGGCTCCTCTTGTGGGTGGGGAGCAGGGCACGCTGCTGGACGCAGGGGCTGGAGTTGGGATCGGCCCACGTTTGCTTCCAGCGTCTAATGTGTGGGTCCGCCCCAGACCTCTGCCCTGCTGTGAGGAGCCCCGTGCGGGGCGCCTCCAGGGGTTAGCGGCTGGAACAGCCAGTGCTGAGGTGCGTCCCCTCAGCCTGACGCTGCAGTCTCCCGAGACACCCTTGCTGGGCAGCACTTCTGCTCGCCGGCCACTTTTTGTGGGTGCCAGGCCCCTTCTGAGGAAGCCAGGATGGCACTGCTGCCCACGCCCAAGTGTGGGGCTGAACTGAACCTCCCAAACCTAGGTGCCGGCAGCGAGGCTCCCGCAGCCTCGTGCTGCCTCAGTGTGGGTGAGGGCGGGAGCCTGTGGCCCTGCTGTGGGCAGTGCACCGCATTCCGTGTGGCCACGGCCACCCCAGGGTGGCCTGCCCAGTGTAGTCATTGGGCTGAGGCGCCCTCTGTCCTGAGACCCAGGAGGACCGTTTGTCCAGCTGGACCACACACGATGAGCCAACCCATCTCTGTTTGGGAATGTGTGGAACCAAATCTCCTTTTTCTTTATTTAAAAACTTGTGTACAGTGCTCCACTCCAGCAGACCCCAGGAGCTGCCGGTGGACGGTGGGCGTCGGCCGGCTCCGCCTTGCCTGTCCGACACCTGGGTTTTCTAGGGACCGGCTGCTGTGTGGGCTGCCAGGGCAGCTTCCATGCCTTCTGTTCACCCCAGACCCCCGACTCGCCCCCCTGGAGGGAGTCCCGGAGACCTCACAGGGGTGGTCCGCTTTTCTTCCTCACGCTGGGGCCTCTCACAGATGCACCTCCTGGAGAAGCCAGAAAGGAAAGGTGGTAGCTGAAGACACCACCGTCTGAGCAGGCCTTTCCAGGCCTGCACCCCGCCCCACCCCCTGCCAGCCCTGTCTTTCATTCCTGGCAACTCTGATGTTTCTGAAGTTGGGTCCCGAGCAAGCACAGCTCGGACTGGGTTTGGCTTGTGCTAAGGCCCCTTGGCTCTTCACCCCCGCAGAGGGGCCGGGCTGCAGCTGTCGGGCTCAGAGCCCTCTTGGTGGGAGAACTCTGTGAGGGGTGTTCAGGGATTTTCTGGATCCCAACCACCAGCAGGAAGGACCCTGACTCTGTACTGGAAAGACTGTTGCACTCCGGTGCTGGAGAGTTGGCCAGAAACAAAACAGTGACACCGGGGTGGGTGCTCTTTTCCTGCCAGCCCCAGTGACGGCTGAGGCTGAAGCTGCCGCCCAGCAAGCAGGCAGGCCTGCTCCTTCCAGCACCACGGTGCCCGGTGCCCTTGCACGGTGAGAGCCGCTTCCTGGCGCCCCTCCCTGGTTACCCTTGTCCCTCCCCCTCGATGTTCTCCTTCCAAAGAAGCAGGGGGAAGCACCAGCCCAGCAGGCTGCAGCGGATGCTGGGTGGCTTCCAGTGGAAACCTGATCCAAACCAGGCCCCCAGAGCCACCAGGCCTTTCCAGAGTTGGAGAACACCATGTCCCTGGAGGCTTCTCTCTGCCACAAGAGATAACATCTCCCTCGGCATCCTGAGGGAAGCTTGGGATTCTACCCCTGGCTTTGGGCTTTGATCCCTGGTCTGCAGAGGCTTTGACTTGCAGGGAATTAGAATAATCATCAGCACATGGATTTGGTTTGGTGAGAGCACGGGAGCTGGGGCCGACAGGCCCACCACCCCACATTCTCCATCTCTGCGGTCGGCAGTGGGCATCGCCTGGGGAGAGGAGTCCCCGCTCAGCTCCCTGTTCCCACCCCTCCGCCCACTTCTTTTAAAATTCACCCCAGAGAGCTGGGGTGTAAGCCAGAGGTACAGTTGAGAGGATTCACCAGAGATAGAGTGGGGAGCAGAACAGGCAGACTGACGAAGTCCACTGCTGAGGGGAGCAGTGGGGAGACATAGCCTGCCAGGCCATGGGGGTCAGCTCCCTGGCCGGGGATCGAACTCAAGCTGAACCAGGTGCTTCGCAGTCCTGCGCTTTAACCCATTGTGCCACCAGGGAGGGCCCTCCTCTCCCATTTTTGGTGACCTTTTTTGCATCATTAGTGGCAGGAGATCTTGGATGCACCGCTCCCCCAAAAGAATGGACTGCCAAGCCGCTGTTGCTGGCACAATCCAGACAACCCTGCTTTTTAGGTTAAAATAACGAGTTTGCAGAGCATGTTTAGGGGGGCTGGCCTGTTTGGGTGGCGGGGTGGGGCTGGGTGGGGTCAGCTGCATCTTCACTTTCCCACTTCCCTTCTCGGGCCTTCCCAGCCTGGCTGCCAGCACGCCACTTAGCCCGGCCCCGAGTTGGTTTCTGCTTCCCTGGGCGTGGGGTTTGGCAGCAGACAGGGCCAGCTCTGGGGCTGGCTCGCAGGCCACTTTGCAGCCTTTGTCGGCCGAGCCGCTGCTTTTTTGTAGGCCCTAGTTGAGGACAGCCAGTCAGTCACAAAACCTCACGCCTCCACCTCCCTTTCTCCGGGAGACCTTCTGGGGCTCCTTGGGCGTGGAATGGGTTCTGGCAGCTGCAGAGAAACATCCTCCTTGAGGCGGGGGCTCCGGTTGGCTGCCTTGAGTCCCAAGGCCAGCGCCTCGACTCCCGAGGTCCGCAGAGAAGCGAGGCCGCTCCGCTCTGGCCTTGCCCTGGGTCTCGCACGCCACTGAGGGCCCCGGGCCCCGCGCCAGGCGCGCTCGCTGGCGCGGCTCTAGGGGGTGATTGCTCCCAGCTGTGCCGACGCCCTGGCCGCGCTCTGCGCTGCTCGCCCCGGGCTGCGGCAGATAATACCTTCAAACATGCGGTTGTAATTTATTGGCCTTATAAGTTAATTTTAGTGGGTGTGCAGTGGATGGAAATCAAAGCTTAATGAAGGCCAGAGTCTGGGGGCGAGGAGCAGGGTGGGAAAGCGTTCTGTGTTCTTCCTTGCTTCGGGTCTGAGATAATCTTCAAACGCTTTAATTAGCTTTTCTAATCAGCCCTTTTTGTCTGGAAAAAGTTTACAGAGTGAATGAGGTGGCGTCCCTGCAGGGACAGGGGCACCTGGCCCTGCCCACCCCCTCTGCCTCCCCCCGGGGCCGTGTCAGGTGTGGCTGGCCCTGCTCCTTCACTCCACTCTCCATCTGCCAGAGACGTTTGAGCAACATGAGCTTGGGGGGGGATGAGGCGGCCATGTTTGTGCATGAAAAAAAGGTGTTGCCTTGTTTCCTGGGTCCTGGAACCTCTGTGTTCCCGCCGCCTTCCCAGACCTGGGCGCAGGGGTCTCCCCTTACCATGGACGGTAGCTGGAGTCTGGGGGAGTGTTAAGTGTTTCAGCCCAGGTGGTGACGACGAGGCAGTGGGAGAGCTGGTGGGGTGGGAGCAGCAGCACAGAGAGGGGAAACTGTAGGTGGGTGGGGCACCCAGACAGCAGGCGAGACCCCGCCAGCGCAGTCTCTGGCCCCAAGGAGGCTGCTCCAGGCTGGACTGTGGATCGGATAGTTGGGCCCATAGGAGGCCTGGACTTGTGTGAGGAAAATGGAGGCGCCCTGGCTTTCTGCCTCCCACTATGGGCCTCCGTGGCCGCCACCTGCGGCCTTGCTTTCCTCCAGGTTTCACTGCCCGCGCATGGTACGTGTTACTGCAGACGCTCTGAGGAGCATGAGCGTGGGGTGCACGCACCTGTGGGTCCTGGGCAGGTCAGGGAGATGGGAGATCCGAGGAGGGAAGCCAGAGAGCGAGCGAGGGGGTACCACCATGAGCCTGCCCTCTCGACGCTTGCCCACCTTGCCATGTCCACTCGGAACTGTCAGCTGCCAGTGCCGCTGGCAGTCTGGTCTCCT